GGAGACGCAAAGAACGGTTTAAAGGGCCAACGCAATATTTTTATTTGCAGCCACTTTCCCTGGTCTCTGGCAAAGGCGGGGGCAGAGTGGGCTAGAGACGCCTGAGGAGAGTCTGGGGAAGGAGACTTTGGGGACAGAACTGGGAGAGTAGCCAGTGGGATCTTGGTGCTGACTCATCCCCCATGCGGCAGCAGCCATCTTGCCCAGACAGAGACCACTCCCCCTGAGCGGTACCATGTCAAAGGACCCAATAGCCCCACCCCCAGGTGGGATCCACCCCGTCCTGTGCTGTCTAAGCTGCCTGCCGAATGCAGAACGGCAGCCACAGACAGTAGATCCCTGGCTAAAGGGGGAACAGAGAGGTCTGGAGACACTTGAGGACAGACTGGGGATGGAGGCTTTGGGGAGATAACAGAGGGTGTAGGGGACGGGATCCCAGTATGGAGTTGTCCCACATAACACCAGCATGAACAGACCCGATAATCCCACCCCCAGGAGGGGCTTAGCCCCGCCCTGAGCTGTCTAAGGTGCCCTGCTGAGTGCAGAGTGAATAGATTAACAGCCAAAGGAGACAGCCACCAACAGTAGATTACTGAAAGTCTTGAACAGATTGCCTAAGGTCATACATGGTCAACATCTGACATCATCAGAGGCAGATCCAGAAAGTAAAAACAGCGGTCTCCAACCATAGAAGTTCACACCACAAAGTCAGGAAATCAACACAGATCAACTTAAGAATCAGAAGCAAAAGAGAAGAGTCTCACAAATAATGGGAAGACAAAGAAACACCCCCTACTCGAAGGGAAAGGAGGAATCCTCACAAAGACAACTAAATGAAATAGAGGCAAATAAACACTCAGATATTGAGTTCCAAACAACGGTTCTAAGGAAACTCAATGAGCTCAGTGAGCTCAGAGAGAATTACCAAAAAGTACAGGAAAACTATGAGGAACTAACTACAAACTATATCAGCATGAAAAACGACACAGATGCTATCAGTAAGACACAAGAGGAAATGAAGAATACAATTTCTGAATTGAAGAACACAGGAGAAAGAATCCAAAGCAGGCTCGATGAAGGTGAGGTCTGAATCAGCAAGCTGGAGGACAAGGTAGCAAAAAGCTCTCAGAAAGAGCAAGAAAATAAAAAAATAAAAAACTCAAAAAGAATGAAGAGGCATTGAGGGAAATGCAGGACAACCTGAAACGTAAAAATATCCATATAGTAGGGATACCAGAAGGAGAAGAGGCTGTGGAAGGGACACAGAGCCTGTTTGAAAAAGTCATGATGGAAAACTTCCCTAAAGGGAGGAGAGAAAAAGGCACACAAGTCTGGGAAGCACAGAGGGTCCCATTCAAGAGGAACCCAATGAGGCCCACTCCAAGACACATCATCATTAAAATGGCAAATATCAAAGACAAATAGAGAATCCTAAGGGCAGCAAGGGAGAAGGAGGTAGTAACATATAAGGGAGCCCCATATGGCTAGCATCTGACTCCTCAACAGAAACCCTGCAAGGCAGAAGGGAATGGCAAGAAATATTCCAAGTCATGAAAAGCAAATGTCTGCAACCAAGACTGCTCTACCCAGCAAGGCTCTCAATTTAAATGGAAGGCAGAATAAGGAGTTTCCCAGACAAAAGAAGGCTAAAAGAATACACCTCCACCAAACCAGCACTGCAACATATGCTAAAGGGACAGCTTTAACATGAAGAAAAAGTTTCTATGAATACCCAGTTCCTTTCAGAGTTGCCAGTACTTGATATTACCAATATTTTTAATACTCATTAATCTGATTGTGACAATGATGTTGTTTTAATTGTTCCTTTACTATTTGTTGAAACGAAATCTGTTTTAGTATATTTCTTGCCTATTTCTATTATTTAAAAAAAAACTTTAAATGATTTTTTGGTATCATCCATTTATTGATTAAAGGTTTATGGAACTCCCCCCCCCAGAAAAAAACCTATTAACCATGTTTTAGATGTGTTACAAATACTTTTCTATTCTGTCCCTTGTCCTTTAACATTTTTTATATGTATATTACTATATAGTTAAATGTTTAATATAGTCATATTTTTAATATTTACTTTATAGCTTCTGGGGTTGAATATTTTATTTCAGGTCATATAAAATATTAGTTCTATTTTCTCTAAAACTCCTTAGATTCTACATATTGATTTTTAACTCACCTGAATATTTCTTGTATAATATATGAAATAGGGCTATATATTTGTTTTATTTCAAGTAATAGTGGTCTATGCACCTTATTTGTTGAATAACCGTTATTTTACCCATTGATTTGAAAATCAACTTAATCATATATTGTTAGACAGATATATATGTTTGTCTCTAGAATACTCATTATAATATTTCATTGATCTACTTGATTATTTCTGTGCTGGTGTCATGTTGGTTTAATTGCTGAGACTTTATAAGGGTTTTAAATTGTTTTAGTATAATTAACTTTGACATTTAAAAGAAATAAAATCAATCTGCATTTAAGGAAGAAAGAAATAGAGATGGAACTGCTACCTTTTGTGACAACATGGATGGACGTGGAGAATATTAAGCTAAGTGAAATAAGCCAGTTGATGAAAGACAAATATCATAAGATCTCACCTATAAGTGGACTTTATTCAAGAAAATAAACTAACGAAAAAATAAACCACATTCATGGAAACATGGAACAGACTGAAAGTGACTAGAGGGGATGGGGAAAGAGGACAATGTTGGAAAGAAGGGGAAGGGACTAGACAAAGAACATGTATGAATGACCCATGGACATGGACAACAGAGTGGGAATTGACTGTGGGAGCGAGGGGTGGGGGTGAGATGGGTGGAGGGGGGTAAAAGGGGAAAAACTGAGACCACTGTAATAGAATAAGCATGATGTATAAATTGAAAAAAGATTATATAAGAAAAAATATGAATTGCTGGAAAATAAATTTTAAGAAATTTTTAAAACATTAATAAAATCTTTTAAAAAATGGTGATACAAATATATGATGAAATACTATTTGGCCATTAAAAAGAATGAAATCTCACCATTTGAAACAGCACTGATGGAGCTAGCGGGTATTATGCTAAGTAAAATGAGTCAGACAGAGAAAGAGAAACAACATATGATTTTAATTATATGTGGAACCTAAATAACAAAACAAACAAAACAGAAACTGACTCACAGATACAGAAAACAAACTGATGGTTGCCAGATGGGAGTGGGGGAACCGGGTGAAAATGGTGATAGGATCAAGAAGTACAAAGTGGTAGTTACAAAGTAGTCAGGAGGATGTAAAGTACTACACAGGGAATATAGTCAATAATGCTGTAATAACTTTGTGTTGGGCCAGATGGGTACTAGACTTAACATGGGGATCATTTCATAAAATATATAAATGTCTAACTACTATGCTTTCCACCTAAAACTAACATAAAATAATACTGAATGTCAATTGTAATTAAAAAAAAAATACAAACCACCTTGCCCTGAAGTCTGGATGAGAGACAGATTTGAGCTTTGCTTTCTGTCTCTTAGCCAGTCAGCTTCACGATAAAAGCCTTTTCTTTTCTGAATAGCCAATGTGAGAGTATTAGCTCCTCTGCACATCAGACAGCGAAACATTGCTCAGTGGTAAGTGCTTTAATGGAAGTATTATATGACTTTACAAATAAAAATCAGATGTGAAATGAAGTAAAAAGTGAAAGTCCCTATGAATTTCTGTCATTAATGTTAAACATTTTAAAATTTTATAGCAAATTATTTCTATATTGTTGATATAAATATTGTGAGGCTTTTGCATTATAATTGTCCCTACATCAGACATTATCTATATATACCATAACCCACACATACATTTTGGAAATAATTGTTTTTGGCTGAAATCAGCAGTTCTGTGAAGTTGTTAATATAAGCTACAACATTTCACTAGACATTTATAAGCAATGCAAACCGAAGACAATAGCTGAAATTTTCAAACTAAAACTAAATTTTTACTCAATTACCTAATCCATCACAATAAAAGTGTTCTGTGGCTTTTAAAACTCAAATAATCTGCAATACTGTTAAATTTCTCTGGTTCTTTTGGTAGGGCAAAGAGACCTAGCATAAGTTTTGTAAGGGAACAGTGTATAGATACAATTTTTATATATATTTAGAATATATATCTAAATATATTCAAGATATATTTAGAATGTTAGTGTTGCATGTATGCATAGAGTAGCATCTTCCCCCATGGCCTGATTTGAAGAAAGCAAGAAAGCTCAGCTGCCCAAATATACCCTTATCATTTGTCTAATGAATATTCTCTGAAGATTCTTTAGGAAGAAGACAGAGGAGGAAAATACAGAAATTCATCATTAGAGATTATATATTATCAACTTATCATATTTGGATTTTAGAGTAGATAGCCTAGTAGGTTGGCAGGTTCAAAGGTAATGGGACTCCAAGTCAGTATATTTTAACTATGGAGAAGGCTCAGTAGGAAAGGCTGAGTACATAGGGCTCAGAATGGGAAAGCTGGCCTAGATGGAGCAACTTAATTAGCGTACATTAAATAGATGATAGCTAGAGAACATCAGCAAGGTGAAAGAATATTGATCCCATGTATATACTGCCACTATTCTATTAATATCTTTGTCCCAATATAATGTCTGTTACAACAAATATACACTTAGCCATTAACATATAGCTATATAAACTTGGTTCTGGAAAAAGGCTTGTTGTAAGGGCATTTTTTACACATAAATATTTCAGTAATGTTGTATTTATTTTATTACTGATTTAATTTTTTAAATTAAAATGTTTTCTATTTTTCAATTACAGTTGATATTCAGTATTATTTTATATTAGTTCCAGGGGTACAGTGACTCTATAGCTAAAAAGTATAAATTATTTGAAAATTTAAAAGTACATAATCTAATTAGCTGATCAAGAGAATAAATTTAAAAATATAAAGTATGCCCTTACATTTCTAGTCACTTAACCAATTGTACTAATAATTAAGAAGTCATTATGTTTTTACCTGTCAAATTCATACTCAATTTTGGGTGAAGTTTTAAATCTTCCTTCTGGTAAGTATCTTCGGTATCTCCCTGATTGGTCAGGAGATCTCCCTGACTGCTCAGGAGATCTCCTTGGTTGGTCACGAGATCTCCCTGATTGGGCACGAGATCTCTCTGAGTGGCCATGAGATCTCTCAGAGTGGCCACGGGATCTCTCAGAGTGGCCATGAGATCTCTCAGAGTGGCCACGGGATCTCTCAGAGTGGCCACGGGATCTCTCAGAGCGGCCACGGGATCTCTTAGAGTGGCCACGACATCTCTCTGGATGGCCATGAGATCTTTTTGGGGAGCTACGAGATCCCTCTGATTGACCTCGAGGTTTCTTTCGTTGACGGCGAGATTTCTCTAAACGGCCTCTAGATCTCTCTGAATAGTGTCGATTTTCTTCCAATTGGCCTTGAGGTACTTTTGATTGACGCTGGTTCTCTTTGGATTGGCTTCGCTTCTTCTCTGCTTGGGCCTTAGGATGATCACTGCACTTCTTCTGCAATGAACAATAATTTTACTAAATGAATGAAACATGTACCCAGTGATTATTTCATTTAGTCACAATGATACTATGTCAAGATAATTTCAATGCCCCCCCTTTTTTTAGAATTCCACTGTCCTCACATCTATAGACTACAGACTTTTTGGAACTAATTTACAGAAAGCTCTCATGTCTCCTGTCATTAGAACAAACAACACTATGCACATAAAACTTTAATGAAATGTTTATATATGGAAAATTAGTTGCATTACAAATATGAATATATCCCAAGGTCATGTTCTACTTACCATTTTCTAGATCTACTTTTTTACCTAAAGAAACAACAAATTTTGACTTTATAGTTAAGGTGAGACAGAATATTTAATAATATTTTGTAGCAAAAACCCTTAGAACCAAAGGAAAGTGTTCAAAATCATACTATTTATTGCTCACCTATCTAGGATCATTAAAAAGAAGTTATATATCTCTTCAATATAAATTAATGCTTAATTCTAGACAGAAAGACAGGTAAGGGGAAAGAAAGGTGGCTATAAAGAAAGCAAACATTTGGCTTAATATTGTTCAAGTAAATTGGCCTGGCAACAACTCAGCCTTTCCACCTTTTCAATTTTTAAAAATATTTTATTTATTTATTTTTAGAGAGGGAAAGGGAGGGAGAAAGAGAGGGAGAGAAACATCCATGCGTGGTTTTCTCTCATGCACCCCCTATTGGGGACCTGGCCCACAACCTAGGCATGTGTCCTGACTGGGACCCTTTGGATCACAGGCTGGCACTCAACCCACTGAGCCACACCAGCAAGGGCTACATTTTCAATTTTAAACCAATAGGGCACTGGAGTGAATCAGCCAAATAAAAGTAATGAAAGCTTTGACAAAGTTCTATGCTTCTATCTAAATATAAGAGAATAATGTCATATGGACAGTGTGGAGAAATCAAGCTTCCCATTAGTAAATATTGCCTAGAAAACAGAACATTCCTTAGATCTGGCATTGTGACTTTCTAGTATAACACTACCAGAAGCTGGAAGCAATTGTTAAAAGGCATAATGAATATCATTCACATAAAACTTTGGTAAAAGAAAAAAAATGACAAATTTGTTGCTTTGCTTAAGCATAAAGCCATAGTCCTTCTCTAGCTCTTCTATTGTAAAACATAAATAAGGAGTTTGGGTAAAATGTACTTGCACCTCTTCTCTTTGTTAAGTGACTAGTGTTGGCAGCGCAGTGAGTCAGCAGGAAAAATTGAGACCCGTCTCCTAAAGATCCACATGCACCCCAGTATCTTTCCAAAGGGCTTGTAGTCTTTTTACAAATGTTTAAATATGAAATATTTTCATCAAAGTGGGTATTACTGATTTCTACCTTTATAAAACAAAATGCATGTTAGGTTTCTCTCCTTATAAAAAATTCTTTATCAAAAGAACTGTATTGAATAAATACAACTGTATTGTACTGAAGTAAGGATTAAATCTCGTGAAGTACAAAACTAATCTACTAGAATTTTCAAACCATGATTGAAAACTGTAATTATTATTCAATTTATTAGTGAAGTAATTATACTTCAATTTTAATATATTTATTTACTGCAGAGTACTTTTTCCTGGTGATTTCTGCTATAATGACAGTCTCAAAAATACAAAAGATAGATAGATGTTTTTAATTTGAAAATACTGGTTTACAGATTCTTCGTTCATTTATTCATCTCAACTATAGCAGACGTAAGTTCATGTCCTTCTTTACAAACTTTATTAAATATCTCCTCCCCCTACAGATTAAATGTCATCTCCTCCATCAAACTTTCTCAAGTACCCCCAATCAGAATGAATTACTGCATCTCCACAATACATAACTCATACTCTATTAGAACATGTATTAAGATCTGGCTGGCATTAAACTTTTTTCCTTTTTCTCCTACCAGCACATATAATATCTGAAGCAAGGCTGTTCTGGTACCTTGCATGATGCCTGCATAGAAGACATTTAATCACTCTTTACTAAATCAATTTAAATTAATCCTTTAAATATTTGAAAATGTAACAGGTTTCCCTCAAAAAAATTGCATTTACATAATTTGGCAAAAATGGTGCAAGCTCCCAGAACCACTATTTTTACTAAATGACCATATACCATCTTAAAAAGAATCATGTTATATAGGCCAAGCTGAAACAGTAGCATCAGTGTTAGTTTATGGATCTGGATATGAGCAATTCTCAAATTCCTGCGCAGTTACTGACTCACCTATATAAGGTTAGAGGTGACAGATTTGTACAACTATAATATGTCCCACCTGTTGTTTCCAGAGTATATTTCATATCCTATATCATATGACTTCTAGTTTTTATAATTCATTCACAAGGTTACTACAACTTAAGATCAAAGACTCTATATGAGGACAAAAATAATTATGATTACACAAGATTAATCACAAAACCAATAATCTTTTTTGGCATTTTATAAATTCAAAATTTCTAGAGATGATTGAAAATAGCAAGAATGAAATGTTTATGGAAACAGTTACAAGAAAAAATCAATTAACAAATATCAAATTTAAATTATGTTCTAGATACCATAAGGAAATACTAAGAAACAATCTGTGCTCTCAGTAAACTTTAAAATAATCCATAATATTAAGAAATATATATTAAATATAGGACCTTTTATATTGGTTAATTCTTGGTATTTATTTACCTTCTTAGTTAAAGACTTCTTGTTTAAAGGACTTTGTTGAGACTTGGATCCAGAAGGTCTTTGGTGTGGTTTTTTATCATTTCTTTCCTTAATGTTGTTCCTGGATATTGAGGATACTTTGAAAAATAATTATTTTCTGTATTTTCAGTCATAAATTCAACATATATTTTACAAGTATTATCTGTGATCTCATTGTTTTAAAGTTATGCACTGGGTTTTACAAAACTTTGATATTTCATTATAGTCTGATATCATCTGAGAGTCTCACTGAATCTTAGAACTGTCTTTGCCATACTATTTCTACTTGCATACCTTAATATAGTAGCATTATCTGTATATAATACCTCAAATTTGGTTTCATATACTACTAAGGCTGATGCATATTATCTAAAATTAATTGAAAAATAGAGAGATGGGGAGAAACTGCCTGCTTTGTGTTAATTATTTGAATATTTGCCTTACCCACTTTGCTTTGGGTGTAGAGTAAACTTAAGAAATGATCAAAGAATATGGATCTCCAAAAGGCTCATAAAGATCAATTTTATGTTTAGTTAGAAACATGAGAATGGGCCACCTCACTATTTTTAGCAGCTTTGCCAGTATAATAACCACCACTCCACCCTTTTCTCAGTACCCACGAAGCCACTGAAAGATTCAAATAACCACTCTAATGAAGATGGGTAGGCTACTGGCTGGGGTTAAAGTATGTACAATATCAAGGTGGTTCCAACTTGTTGATTAGACCATAGAGATCCTTAATTGTTGAAAAGACTTTTCTATTATGGCAATTTATAGTGCATTCATATTAAAATATGCACACGCACTGACTAATGTGTTTAGGGACACAACCAACTTTCTTCATGTTCCTCTGCACTCTTTTTTGCCCTACAGCATTTAGATTATTCAAAATGTGGATGCCACAGTGCCCATATTATTAACTATGCTTTTCTTGTATTGCCTCCTACAAGTGGAATTGGATCAATCAGCCAGGCATGTGAACAAGTACAAAACATTTTTCATTCTTATCCAGCTCTCCCTTAAGGAAGTAACTTATTTGAATTTTTTTCATGTCATGGCATAAATTCTTACCAACCCTGTATGCCTACATTTACAAGAAAAATAAAACTAGCAACATAATACAACCTTAGAACACATTCCAATATGCAAATTTGCTTATGTAGTTATTCACAAATATTTCAGATTATTTTTACCACATGTGATGTTCAGTGTATATTACCTCTCTTCTGCCGATGCTCACCAGCATTTGATTGCTGTATAGAAACTGAGTTCTTTTCTCCCTCATTCTGTGTCTCATTCTTATCTTCTTCAAAGTTTGGATATTCTATCTTTCTAAGGATTATAATGTCATCTGTATTAGAAAACACATAAAAATGATGACAATGGAAAATGCCAAATTACAACAATGTGTCTGAAGTGAATAATCTATATTCTACTTCATCATACTTTAGAACTTATTAAAAATTAATAGCTTTAATAAAATATAAAATATATCACTATAATAATAATAAACTTGTAAAACCATAACAAAGCTCAAACAATGCAGACAATTTTAAGATTAAACAATTAATTAAGATCAAACAATTTTAAGATTAGTTTCCTGGAAGAAGAAAGAAAAAATTCCTGTTTAACAGATTCATAGTTACTTAATTTATGCAAAAATAAAATAGTTTCAGAGTAGATTAAGGGGGAAATCACTTAAAAGTGACTTCACTAAACATTATTTTAGTTTGAGAGCAATAGTATCATCCCTGATTAAACAGATCTTAGAGGGGAGGGATTTGGGGGGCTAGAAGAGATTAGAACATATGTGCATATATATTTAGCCCATGGACACAAACAACAATGTGATGAAGATGGGGAAGGGGGAGGGAAGTAGGGTCTGAGTGATGGGGAGGTAAAAGGGAGGAAATGGGGGATATCTGTAACAGTGTCAACAATAACAAATGCAAAAAATAAGTGCTAGAAAATTAGTTCCATTTATTTTCTTAAGAGTAAGAAAGGAAACAATGGTAATGGACATTCACAGGAAATACCAAAGAGGTGAAAAACGAAGGTTAGTGTAGTAGCAAGAAGCAATCAGACTTGACTTAGTGGTCAGACATGTTCTTATACATTCACACAGTGAGAACACTTACATGGCATGATTTTAAGAATGAGAGACAGGTACAACCTGCTCTAAAAGAGTTCTCACATCTGGGATAAAAAGCTCTAAAAATTGGATGCTCTCACAATAGATGAAAGCATACTTGGGTCAAGTTATCTTTAGAAATAAGCACAAACTAGGCATTTAGAAAGAGCTACCGATACTAGAAATAAAAAGGGGAGCTGAGAGGGGTGCAAAAGAGGAGGCAGTTGGATACCAAAGATTAACCACTCCTTTATTATTTTGCTTAGTATTAGTTCTGTCTAAAGTCTTCAAAACTCTGATTCTTATTATCCTGGAAAAGGCTGTCAACTCCAAGGTAAAAGCCTGTGTAAAGCTCAACAATCAACTGAGCTATCATTCCTTGGCAATCCCATTTTAAGCCTTTGTTCTGTCTGCCTCTCAGCAGTCATTGGTTGTCACATCTCCTGCAGACAAAGTTTTTAATGTTCTGTTCTTTGTATTCCTTATACAATCCTTTTTCTTCTACAATTTGTTCCTCTGTTGTTTCCCCTACATTCTACATTTAAAATATATACACATCTCTGTACAGATTTTTTTCTCATTACAGTATAAGGGAGTGAACTAACAATATCTTAGAAGACATCACAGGAAGATTTTAAAATTTCCAAATCCTCCCCCTCATCAGCCCTGAAACAATCACTACGCAGTTTGCAGGACCCAATTAGATGGGTAGATTCCTGATAGGAGAGCAAAGCTTCAGAGAGGAGAAAGGGAAGAACAAGTTCCTTCCTAAGTGGATACTTTTCACAATGACATGAGGGAATGCTCTGGGATCTGTTTTTCTCATGGCACTCATACACAATTCGCAGTGATTTAAAATTTTTCCTGTTCTCAGAGGCACCAAAAATAATGGCAAGCTCTGTCTTAGAATCTTACAAGGAACAAATAAAGCAGAACATTTCTTATGCAGATCTACAGCTACAGTTGAGAAACATTTTTCTAATGTCTTATGACATCAAGGATCTGAAGGGATAAACTATGTGGATTAATAAAACAGCTTTAAATTGATAGAACTTAAAAGTTTACATAGCACTTCCACATAAACGCCCTTGGCACAATGCCTGACATACATGAGACACTCAAAAAGTGAAATAATAAAAGAACAAACATTTATTGAGTGACTCATATATGCCAGGTACTGTGGCCCTATGCTTAAAAGTCGACAGAGATTATCTTCTCTTTATAAAGAAGAAAACGGACTCAGGAAAAATACATGACTTACTCGACAGCACAAAATCATATATTACCAAGCTGGGACAGATTCTAAGTCCCAGATTCTTGTCACCACATTATACTTTCTCCTTCACAAGTATAGTTATCCCGCAAATTAGGACAGCAGCACCCAGGTTACCGACCATTAATTTAAATGTGATATTCCTATTAAAATAGCATTTTCCTTTCAATTGTGTTTGAAATTAAGTGCACAAAGTCACTTTTAGCATTCAAATAATATAGCAGCAACCTCTACTCCAGCATTCAAGCACCTACTCTGCCCTGTCCCTTTGATTTCTTCAGCCTAGGATTTGGTACGCAATCATTATCAGGAAATCATATACGGGGAAGCTATGGCATGGCTTTAAATCTTGTCAGTAACCTCACCTGCCCAAAAGGACTTAAGTTGTTTGAACTTCCAATCAAACCACCCTGCAACTCACATAATCCTTTTTAACTCATGAGTGAAATATGTAAAATGTCTCCAGAAATACCTAGAGCCTTCTTCCCCCATAATCATATCCTTCTCAGTATACTTTTTAATTTACATGTAACATTATAAAGACTCTGGTCTTAGTGTCATCCTGACAGCACCATGTTAATCTCACAGGATTTTTTAATCCTTTCCTTTTGAATATATTAGTGTATGGAAGCATTTTCCCAAGTCAGTTTGACCCAGTCCTATATCATATAACTCCCTAGTAATATGAATGAACAAACATCACAGGAAGAGCAGTGAATAGGAATCGTATCGCAGAAAACAAAATGTTGAACATTTCATACAAGATGGGCTTTTTATAAAAATTATGTTCCCAAACAGACTTTGCAGAGATTGACTGTCATAGTTCACATTCAACAAATGGGTATAATTTTCATATCTGCTACTTGGCCAACAGCACCAAGATATTCTGACTCACAGTAATTGTTCTAGAACAGAAAAGGTAGAAATACACTCTGGTATCCATCCAAATCTACAATAAGGAGAATTTCTGAGTCAATAATATATTATTTTCCTACTTATTTAGCCTTACTCTAAGGCTATTCATTATCCTAGTCTACAAAGGATTTTGTTATGGTGTTCACTTTTAAATTTTCTTAGAAATGGTCACTGTTTTCACTTAATTTAGACTCATAAGTGATAAACGGAGCCAGCCCTATAAAATGGGTTCAGGTTTAATGACTACACTCCCACAGCTGCTATATAAAATTCATCTAACTAACAGGAAATTCAATTTTCTCTTTGGTATTTTTCCATTTTTTGTTATATTTATTCTATTATTGCATTTCACACCAAAGGCGGTGGTCACTTGTGTAAGGAAAGATAAGCACACCAAAGAAGAGTGCGGAAATGCAGGCTACACAATAGACAGCAGGAATTTGTCCCGACAGTCTATAATACTGGTAAGTGAAACTCTGTTTAAAAGATGAAAAGGATGTCATGGCTATATTTTAGAGTTGAAAATAATCACCCACACATTTGTTTCATTACACTGCCTCCTAAATCAGCTTTTCTGAAATAAAACTAAAATATAACATTAACTAAAACATAAAGGTAGAAAGAGGCCTACAACCAACCTGAATTGGGAACAGAAACATAAAACAGGAAAGCATCTATCCTTCATTTTACAAATGAGAAAACTGAGGACTAGAGAGGGCAAGTAAGTAATAGGCCAAAGGTTAGTTAATGGCCGAACTAGGACTAGAACATAAATCTTCTGATGGAGAGTTCTGAAAGTCATGCTAAGGTGTTTAAATGTTATCCTGTAGGTCAGTGGTCCTCTGCCCTGGCTGTGTACCAAAATTACCTGGAGAAATCTATTTTAAAATACAGAGCCCCTATTCAGGTTATGATTTAGTAGAACTCAAGTGTTTGTATTTTTTAAAAAGTCCTCCAAGTAACTTTGATGTTTAGCCAAGACTGCAAACAACTGCTGTGAGCAATGGAGAACCTTCAAAGAACACAGAAGTGAGATTATGAAATTGATGGTTTGGGGAATATCAATTTGTGACTGGCAGTAAATTACAGAATAGAGTAAGACTACAAAAAGGAATACTATTTACTTTGGGGTAGGAGTTGCAATAGTCCAAGCACAAAGAGATAATAGTTTATACTAAGGCAGTATTGGGGAAAAAAGAGAAAGAAAAATGAGAAGTCCTCTCCCTGTTCACCTCAGATTCAATGGGAATATTGACTGTGGGGGCCTCAACAGCCTCACCTTCTTCTACTCATCCTCTTGCAAGGCAAAGCTCTCCCCTGACAAAGAAAGGGTGTTTTAAGTGCTTTAACTAAAAATCAGTAACCAAAAGAAAATATAGAACCTTTCAAATTTCCTACCAGGCACATTCCATGGAAACAATCACGTATACTTTTCAACAGTTTCAACATTAAAGATAAATGATTATACAAAGCAGTGCCTGTTCTCTCAGAATAAGTGTTTCCAAACTCTGTTCTCTGATTCCCTGATGCCAAGGGGGCACAATGTCCCAACCTTACCTGTACATTTTCTCCATCTAATATAAAACTGTTAATTATTGAAATGTATGTACCCTAACTGAAACTGCTAAAACACCAGATATATATCACACTTCTACTTACATAAGTTCTCTCACTCTTCCAAATTAGAGCACTGTTTCAAGGCTTCTTGGAGCTCTGCTCTTGGGGATGTCATCAGTTTGGCCCAAATAGAAAAAAACATTTCTTTTCTTAAATTTACAGAGGTTTGTGTCATCTTTTCATTGACACTCCAGAACTCACAGCATTCTCACTGAACCACCTGTTGTCAAAGATCTCCACAGGTCACCAAGGAAATGAGGCTGATTGGTAAGGGGGTGGAACCCATAGAAAGATATTAGAACTAGGGCATGAGAAATGCCTTCCTAGAATTCTCAATTTTACCTTGTACTATGTTATTGCATAAAATATTATTATAAATGATTGATGCAATCCAAATATCAGTACACCAAACAGG